TCTTCAGATGAATGGGATCATCGCTGATCCCCTGCAGAGGGACAGGAAGAGAAGATGTGTTCTGAGTGTTTAAAAGCTCAGCACTCCATCACAGGGCATGTCAAAAGATTTTTTAAATGCTTTTTGGCAGACTTTGCCATTTTGGGTTTTTTCTACCGGCTGTCAAATCTGATGATAGCATCGAGAGGTTTTATTTATTAATATGTTCATCTTTAGGTATCCACGATAGCCCCCGTTTGTGCCTCTTATGTATTGTAGAAGTTGAGCAACTCAATTTATTTGTTCCTACTGTTATATGATACCTTACCTTATGATACAAGGGCCTTGTTTAGTACTGAAAATAATCACTGTTTTTGTTTTGTTTTAAATGTACAGGACTCAACATCCATGAATGAGCCTTATATGCAAACTAAACTAACTTTAAGACACTTTAAGACTTCAAGACATTGTTTATAGATAATAATGGAGAGAGGAAAACTCTCCAGCTCCAAAAGTTCTGCTCTCCTTTGTTGCGTCTTTGGTTAGCTTCTTTTTAGGAACATCCACCATCCACAAACAAATCCAGACACTGGCCGTTTCTGAATCTCGAGGAAACTGGCTTCCAAGCCAATATTTCAAGGATGCTACGTCATCGAGTGCCGCCGAAGGACTGTTCCAATCTCCAGCATACTTGGAATTCCACCGAGGCCACGTAATTTCGAGGCTGCACATGGGTAGACTTCGCGTCCTTCAAATCCCCACAATGCTTTGCGCACGGACCAATTTCAAAAAAACCTTGCGGAGAATGGCTGAACCGACGCAGCACAGCACACATTTAAATGTAAGTATGTAGTGGCGTAGAACATGTGTTGGTAAATATGTTTCTTTGTTGCATTTGTTATCACCAAAAATGTGTTCCGTGAAAGTAAAGCGAGTTCATAATTAGATAGACATCGTGAGGTATTTATTTTCGGTACAGTTTATGTTGAAACCGTTAGAGAGAGTGGCACACTTGTTAGCCTGTTCCATTCTTCTTTGTTTTCCGGAGCCGTGGCTTGGAAGTATACTTGCTTCGTTTCTGAAGGAAGTGACTTGGAAGTATGCGACTACCAAGCCAGTATCCTCGCGATTGAGAAACGGCCACTCACTACCCGATCTGCAGCCCTGCCCTATCTGCAGTGCGCATGTGCGAGATGGTCCGCCATATTTGACAACTACCTACTGCAACCCAAGTAGGACACTTGACACAGTGGCTTTTGGCAAAGCAANATGCTTTGCGCACGGACCAATTTCAAAAAAAACTTGCGGAGAATGGCTGAACCGACGCAGCACAGCACACATTTAAATGTAAGTATGTAGTGGCGTAGAACATGTGTTGGTAAATATGTTACTTTGTTGCATTTGTTATCACCAAAAATGTGTTCCGTGAAAGTAAAGCAAGTTCATAATTAGATAGACATCGTGAGGTATTTATTTTCGGTACAGTTTATGTTGAAACCGTTAGATAGAGTGGCACACTTGTTAGCCTGTTCCATTCTTCTTTGTTTTCCGGAGCCGTGGCTTGGAAGTATACTTGCTTCGTTTCTGAAGGAAGTGACTTGGAAGTATGCGACTACCAAGCCAGTATCCTCGCGATTGAGAAACGGCCACGGCTTCCATTCTCACAGCCCAGCTGCCACTCATTCACCCTAATCATCACCAACGCCTGCCCCCCCCCTCTCTCTCTCTCTCTTCCTCTACCCATGAAAGGCAGACTGATTTCCCTCTGCAGCCCCAGCACTGCCCTCAATAGGAGCTGCTCCTTATTGCAAGGTGAAAGTGACATTTACCTCATGCTTGATGTATCCGAGTGGGTTACATGAGTAATACATTTGTTTCCCGATCAACAGTAATGACTGCGGTTGAGACACCAACATTTCGGGTTCCTTATTTAACAGTATAGATGTAAAGCCTTCTCACCTTATTAGTCCCCGATATCCGCTCCGTCTCATTTTCTATTTCTTGCCTGATTTCATCAAAATCTGAGAAGATCTGTAAAAAGAAAAAGAAAAAAACAGCATAAATAGAAGCAAAGGTAAAAACAACTTATTAAATATTGTGCATCATAAAAATACATACCTGATTTTTTGTGTGCAGAAATTTGCCCCACTCTTCACCTTCTCTACCTATGAGAGAATAAAACAGTATGTGTTACAGTTGTAGCGTAGAACTCTCAATTGTGGAAAAGGTGTTAGCTATAACAACACCAAAGACAACGACTAAGGCTAAGAAAGCACGGCTAACAGAAGCAATGGACACCTTACAGTGACTAGGTTGCTGACTAAAGCAGCTGGAAATACAAATGTAGCTTAGAAAAGGAAGGGGCGGCACTAAGAAGCTAATCCAGGTTATTTGGAATAAACCTGTACAATGCACCTTTGTAAAGGCACAGTGCTTTTTTTCACTCTCTGGCATCTGCAAATGATAAGAAACACAATCACAAAAACAGAACTTTAAAACCTGCAAATGATATAACTTAAACAAACTTGACACAAAAAAAACAATAGGCTTGTTCCTGGAAGCAAAATCAAAAGACAATGTGTGACTATGGTCCTTGGTCTAAGACACTGCTGACAGAGGGATTTCAGCGCTTACCGCCATCTTCATGTTTCCTGGCATCTCCAGGTTCTACATGGACCAGTTGGAGGATGAGAGGCCGCCTGGTGACGACGCCGGTCCCCCGAGGAAGAAGGTCCCGGCCCACCAGGCTCTCCAGCACCGAGCTCTTACCACTGCTCTGTAGACAGAAAACAGATACACACAGGTTAGATGAATAATGAACCAATGGCAACTTCTCCTGCAGATTTAACACACCACTATAGCCCTGATATAGAATAGATAGAATTGGAGGGATGAAACCCTCTGTAATAGTCACACATGCAGAGCACACAGCACACACAGTGACATTTGTTCTCTGCATTTAACCCATGATATACAAGTGCTATAGCCACAACACCTAAATGCACCTGTCTTTAATACAAATAATAACCTGGTGTTGGCTAACAGGGGCTTGGTTGTGGATGAGGCTCTAAAAATAGCACTGATTAAATATGATTAAAATAGATTTCTGCCAGTGCACACTTTGCAAATGAATAAATACAGTCATCATGCATATGTCGACAAAGGCCTCAATATATTTAATTCTCTGTTAAGTATTGCTCTAAAAATTACAATATCTCTTGTAATAATGTTATATTTAACTGTGCATGCATTATGGTATAGCATGGTTCTCTTGCTAGCATGCACACATGAACACATGCACACAGTCATTTTTACCTGAGTCCCTACAACTGCTATCTGCGGCAGCTGTATGATATCCGCCCCCACTGTGTTGAAAACATCTTGCAGCTTGTTTATTACGGGAATAAGAGCCTCCATGCTCGCGGTTTATGAGTACAATTAATAAACCTAGCTAATTTCGTGATGGAGCCAAAGTCATTCAATGTCCCACTGACACCACCATTGCAGCAACACCCACTGGAATATAGCTGTTGTGTGGTGTTGGGAGTTGTAGTTCTCTAATAGGCACGAGCTACAGCTCAGACAGAGGAAAAGACTACAGCACTTGTTCGCTGTAAAAATAACGCGATAGTTTATTTTTTCGCGCATGCGTACACGTCTTGTTTATGACGGGCTAGCTTCGTTAGCCAAGTAGATTGGATGATTTCGTCCGTCTAAATTGTAACTCACTGCCTTCTCTTGAGTCAGTATTTCGTTCTACTGCTGCCAAACCTTCGTTATTCCAACATGCTACAGTTCCTGGTGAGTTTAATTAACGTTGTAATGCATGACAGTCATTAACATTTACAAGGACGCTGAGGGATGCGAAACTAGGCAAGCTAACGTGATAGCATAACTTGCTGTCAAAACTCTTGACAGTTTTAATGAACATCTCTACTGTAACGTTTGTGAATAGTGACAAATGAAAAATAGGCGTCATTTACCATCAGTTTAGTTAAACGTGCAATACAAGTCACTTTAATTGACCTCAATCTGTAATCATGCAATGCTACTTTTACTTTATCAGTAAGTCGGACATGTTGGCCTCACATGACTTTTGCTCCTTGTCTTTCAGGCTGGCTTTACCTTGGGAAATGTCGTCGGGATGTACCTGGCTCAAAACTATGATGTAAGTTTGTTAGCGTATTTACCTATTTTGAGTAAGTGAAGTAATCTGCTTGTCACACTGACCCCCCTCTACCACACCCTCCACCGGACAAAGCCAGGTAGTCGGACAGGTGCTGCAGAAGGTCGTCATTTTAATTGGTAATTTAAAACTAGTTGATACCAAGTCAGTCCTGCAATACATCTTAGTTTTATAAAAGGTAACCATTTTGAGTTATGTTGATGCTGTGTTGATTTAACTTTATGACCAAAAGTATGGTCATCCTCATATAAGGACACACACAATTAGAAACACCTTTCTATATAATAATAACTGACCACTATTACCTTCAAATTTGGCAAGGTGTACCTAAATCACTGACATTTAAATATGTGCATTAGATTGGATTGACCTTACTGCTTGTTCCTTTCTAGGTCCCCAACATAGCCAAGAAAATCGAGGCTTTTAAGAAAGACGTGGAGACCAAGAAGAAGCCCCCAGAGTGAGCATCCGGACCATGATGCAAAGCAAGCAGATTCAACGCTGGAGAGAAACTATTTATTTGACATGGCTATCTTACAATGAGTGTACATTTGATAATATGATTGAGAATATTAACAGTGCCTGGAACCACACTTATTTCTAACCTTAGTTTTATAGGCATGTTCTCATTGTAGCCTATTTTTATAAGATAAATTGTACAAAAACTGGATTTAAAGAATATAACAACTGACTAGTGGGAACACTTTGGGTCCAGTATGGCACTGTTGCCTTTTCTATGATGCACTCGGGTGTGATAACTTGCACATAACATTCATGATATTCACATTAGGTGTACACAATGTTCTTTAAAGGGAATTTTAATAGAGTATTCAGTTGTTCTCTTCTGTTGTATTCCACATAATCAAAAGGTTTTCCTTGACAAGCTTCTGGTGTAAAAAAGAACTGCCAAATCTTGACATTCGTGAATCTGAATCATTCAGCTTACAATAAAGTTGCTGTTAAGAGGTTGTTGCCTCGTGAATGAAGTAAAGTTTGTTTGGCACATTTCTGTTTTTTGGAAAAAGACAATACATACATTTTTATATCTGCTTTGGTACATGGGTTGTCAATAAAAGTGTACACAAGATGGCGCCATTACAAGACATTAATGTTACACATTTTAGCCTAATATTCATTATATTTGGCAAAAGAATATATAATAATTTACTTTTTCTTCTTGCGCTTTGTTCTCTTCTTATTCGTCTTCTTATTTGAATTTGGCCATCCAAAGCCTCTGAACTGCAGACAGTCCATTGCATTGTGGGAAATGTAGTAGACGTTCTCCATGGCTGCTGGGCTGAGGAGGTCCACCTCTGTCTTGGTGGATTTGGCACTGGGCGACCTCTTTTTGGGCGTTTTTGGACCCCCAGTCTTCTTGGCGGGCCGAGAACTTTGAGACCTGGATTTGGTTGGCTTGATAAAAGATACAAGCGTCGGTTTACTAAAGACTGGCTCCTGTACTTACTTTATTGAATAGTTTAAAATCACAAGTAAATATTACATTTTCTTTACCATGGTAAAAGAAGTCAAAGTCACTTCAAATGTGGTGAGAGATTATTCACCCATCTGTAAAATGCATACAGAGGAATGCAACATTTAAGATGATTTAATCTCTATCTTGTACATTAAGTGCCGTTTTAAAACAGCTTCAATGCTTGAAATCGTCAAGTTAAATAAATAAGCGTATATTTTACCAGTTCCGGACTCGGCACGGCTGTAAGTGGCATCTGAATGGCTTCAACTGGGACAACGAGACCCTATTTGTGTATGCCTTGTTGTCGTGGAGACGGATCAGACTCACTGATGAATGTAGGGGTTGGCTTCAACAAGGTTGTAAATTCTTTTGTTGCATCCAAGTTACCGCTAGGCTAAAAAACAACACCAAGCTAACCATAGATTAGTGCAGAAGACAAAAGCTAAATGCTGGGGAAATAATTTGTTCAATAAGAGCCAACAGACGGCTATCTTTGAATGTTTTTATTTGTGATACAGTTGAATTTGTCACTTTAGACAATAGGCTTTCAAATTCTTTGGATATCCTCACCAAAGGTTTCTGTTTTCAAAAGCCCTTGCATTCCCTTTGTGAAAGTGTAGTTTTGACATCACTAACACCTAGGTACATTCAGTGAATGTAAACCAGTGGAATACCATGCAGAAGATCTTGGAATCTCTCAATCATGCAATACAAATAAATATTATAACCATAACAAGTATACAGTCATTGTGATTATAAGAAATCCAATATGGACCCAAGAAACTTGTCAGTTGTGAGCGAGACACACACAACCCCAAAATAAAAATGCGCTGTACACAAATTATATCTGACATCATGTTTATCAATCAACCGTGTGCCGATCTACTGCACATACCGCAGTAAGGGCTTTATCCAAGCAATAGTGATTTGTTGTGGAGGTTTGTGGATCATCTGCATAGAGCCATATTTTTCTTTAAAGGCAATTTATGGCTTAAAAAGCCTCCATTGCAGCAACACAACAGCTTTGTTTTCATGTAAACTGATACTTAGAAGTACTTCAATAACAAGTCAAGTTCAGCATAAGCATTGCTTATGATGAATAAAAAAAAATGTTCACCAGTGTCAGGGTTTTATTGACCCCGACGTCCTTAATTTATGGTGTTTCAAATTGGTGGCAGTGATGCAGGAGCACAAAGAGCGTTATACTGAAGAGCTTCGTACGTTGAGGTCATTGAAAGGTGGAGCTACTGTGTGGTGACGAGCTGGACGATCATGCCGATGATGCGGGAGCCGCGGGGACACGTGCACAGGTCCATGCTGGGGCTCCTGATCTTGTCCTCCAGTAGCTGGTCCAGCTCCCAGCGCAGCTCCTTCACCAGCTCAGCCACCTGCGCAACACACATGGGGGAAGTTAGCTTCTGGTACACCATCTGGTGAAACTCGTTCTAAAGGTAGCTGAGTAGAAAAGGGTGAGAAGCATGTGGTGACCTGGGGCGCACTTCATCAGGTGCCGGTGTGAACTTTATTTAAAGTTAAACCAATAGAGCGGACCGTAAAGAGCAGAGAACTGGAGTTACTTCCAGTTATTATTTGTTATATTGCTCATGCATTTATTTATCATAACTCATATATATCGGTTTATTTCAACGTTGCCTCTCTTTATCACTATAAATACAGAAAATGTAACATTACACAAATAATTTTTTTATAATGCTTATTAACACCATTTTATGAGATAACATAGTGCTTTCTTTACACTCCTTGTAAAGCCCTCTTACATCTTTAAGGCATATTAAATAATGTTTCTGAAGTTTGGGCCATTTTATTTATTATAAAAATGTCTCCTTGCTACGACAGAAGCCCGTAAAGAACTGAGTTAGAGTTACATCAAGTTACCATTTACATTATTCATCATTAATAAAAACATATCCTAATTTAACTCATGTTTGTAATGTCCTTTTTTTTCAATTTCACATCTCTCTTCTACCCTATGAAAACAGACAATGATATTAATATTATGCTGATTATTACTATTTCATGTGACAAGTGCATTGTTCTCACCACTGTTTTCAAAATGTCACTTTGCTATTCAATTCCAAATAAGAAAGATGATTACAAAGTCACTTTTGAGGATATGTGCAAAGAAACCGCTTAGTGCATATTAAGCTAAACTGTTCCATCTGTTTACTGTTCTTCCTGACCTGATGAGAAGAGGCGGCAAATCGGATCCACCCGTCGTCGAGGGAGATGACAAACTCTCCCTTGTGCAGCTCCATGTGGACCTGCCCGCCTCCGAACAGCACCAGCGGGTACACAGACACCATGCTGCAGTCCCTGATGAAGACTCGGCTCGTCTTCACCTTCTCGTGGTAAACCAGGTACGGGCTGTTGTAGTGGCGAACCTGCGGCACAAAGAAAGGCTTTCAACAGGCCGGCCCCTCTACCTAGCTGCTGAACACTACACGTCGTTTCTGTTCATCTCACCGCGTAGTTGACAGACGACGGGTGGATGTGGACGGCGCCGTCGTTCTTCGTCATGAAGCGGAGCTCGTGGGCTTTGGGCTGCATCATCATCGCTCCTTTGCTCGTCATCTTGTAACTCCCCTGAGGAGATCGTACCTGCAACACAGAGTTAACGAGTGTGAAACCAAGTGTGTATAATAGGAAGGGGATCGTTTTGTAATGTTCAACACGTCCCTCAGATTGTTATTCCAAAGGACAGAATGAATACAGACCTGGACCACATTGGGATAGAGCGCAGCGCAGAGCATGGCGGACATCAGCTTGATGTTGTCTGAGTTCAAGTTAGCCTGAAAAGGAATACATTTATTACATTCTCTTTAAGACTAAGATTGTGGAGTAATACATAGTATACGTTTGCTTAAAGGCAGATTAAAAAGAAATATGTTGTCCTATTCTATTTCAAATTCTGCAATGATATTCTAATGTTTATTTGAACAACAAATAAAACCCTGTGTGCGTTACCTCGTGGCCGGTGGCCTCCAGAACGCCATCAGTGCCTTTAGAGCTCATGCGCTCGATTGTCCTGGCCCTCAGTCCCTCCTTGATGAAGCCGATGTCAGACAGCAGCTCAGCAAACTGCCTCTTCAGACTGGCGATCTCCTGCACAGGTCATAACAGACATGTTTTTAAGAAATGTATGATTTGGGGAAGTTACACAATTGTAGAAGAGGCGCTTTTGGACAGCACTGCCTCACCTGTAAGCCTCGTGAAGACAGGAAGTTCTCCCTGCAGTAGAGGAAGCCGGCCTGGTGGCCATTCTTAGCAGCGCAGCACCATCCCTGCAAGAGAGCGGTAGTCCATCTCATCAGTCATTATATCATTTATAGAAGCTCGGCTAAAGGGATGGCTTATCTTTTTCATGTCCAATTCTGATACTTTTGACACCGATTCCATTCAATGATAGTCTTTCGCCCTCTCTTAAACTTGTCACTAATACATTTGTCTGGATGCACTTTGCTTAACCATCTAAAAACACACCATGCTCACAACATTATTCTGTCATTCTGCTCGTGAGTCAGTACCTTGTATGCCTGCACCAGAGCTAGATGGTCACTACTCGCCACGGTAAAGGCCACTTTCTTCTCATTGGCTTCTTCTCGCTTATCCCATGGAGACACCTGGAACACAGACACAGGACCAGATAGAGAAAGTATTTTTAATTTAAAAAAAAGAAATAAGGTGTCACAAGAATCAAGTAGTTAGTTATGGATAATACATCAGAATTATGATGCAAGCAGTTTCTTACAAAGGGCGATTTGAAGGCCAGACTGGCAGCGATAGTGAGTGCAGGGTCGAGGCAGCGGAAGATGGCCCCGAACAGCATGAGTTTCCCGATGCGCACGTCGACGGGCAGGCAGGCCAGGTGGTAGCCCAGCGGGGTCAGTTTCTCATCGTCAGTGAGGGCCCCGAGGTCCCGCAGGCGCTGCTTGGCTGCGTCTAAGCTCTCCATAGCCGGGGGCTCGATGAGCCGAGTGAAGACGGACTCCAGCATCCGATCAGCAAACAAGTCCAGGATTTTGATTCTGTTACGAAGAGGGGAATGGTAAATACTAGTATGGGGAATTCATGTTTTTAATATTCTAAAATCTGACATTGTGCTGGAGGTGAGGCCTCTCTGGATAGAAGACCCTCTCTCTTTTGTGAAGGCCATTTTTCTTCTTTTTTAATTTGCATTTACAGATAAAAAGGAGGTTGGCATTGTGCAAAGAGCAAACAGATGGATGTACCGGAGGCAGAGCTGCTCTAGAGGCACTCTCTGGATCTCAGGCAGCTGCTGCTCAGCCAGCTGGTGTTGGAAGCAGTGGCTGGTGAAGAGGTGGAAGCAGACCCCCGAGGCCACGCGCCCCGCTCGACCCTTCCTCTGCAGAGCGTTGGCCCGAGACACCCACGAGTCCTCCAGGCTCTCCATGCTTTTAGTCGCATCGTATCTGAAAAAAAATAAAAAACAGAAATGAGAAAATTCTACAATACTCTATCCACATCAGATCAGATCTAAAGACAGGATATAAAAACATTTACATACAGTTCATCTAAAGAGGTAAACTGATGTCTAATCACTTTAGCCCGTTACCTTTTCTCCTTCATCTTGCCGGAGTCGATGACATATACAACGTCGTCAATGGTTACCGAGGTCTCAGCGATGTTGGTGGAGATGATAATTTTTGTGACTCCCTCTGGGGGTCGGCGGAAAACTGCCTGCTGCTCCTCATTGGACAAGGTTGAGTGGAGTGGGTACACTTCACATCTATCAATGAGAAATACATCCACACTAGTTAGTACCCTTTGATTACTAAAGTGTTTACCCACTAGCTGAGACCATTTGATCAAACTGTTTCTTCCTGAACTCTGGAGGCACAAAATACAATTATATACATGAAAATAAGCATAATAGCAAAATACAGACAAAATGATCTACTGTTTTCACTTCTATTGTGAACTGGGTCTCTCAATATTGTATAGGCTGATTATTACTTCTTTTACCCGTTTGGTAAGGATGTTGTCCAACTTAAATGAGGACGATGTTAATCCCTAGTATACAAGCATTTATTAAAATCATAAGGACTGTGTGTCTATTTGAAATTTGTATAGCTATCAAGAAATTCAGGTTTGGCTCTTAAAGTAAAAAAAAGAAAATGGCACAGAGTGGGGAATATGAACAGTGATAAATAAATAACAGGAATGAGGTTGGTTTTGGACACAGACCTGGACTTGCCCCTGTTGTTGAACATTCTGTTGGACTTGAGCTGCTCGTACAGCGTCTTGATCTCAGCCAGGCCTGGCAAAAACACTAGCACTGCACCTGGAGGCAGAACAGAATGTTACAGATGTCACACTCCAACTCTCAAAGAAATCTCCTCGACTATAATAAGTACTCATGAGTGTTTCTTACCTTGAGGGTAGTTGTGATTTCCATCTACAATCCACTCCAGCAGGCTCTCCACCAGGTCCATGTTGATCTTGTCCAGGTCCATCGCAGCAATATTCTTCAGTACAGACTTCTTAGTGTCTGCAAAAACAAAACGCAATGTGACATTTAGAGATGTCCCGATCCGATCACGTGATCGGGGCTCGGATCCGATCACGTGATTTTCAAAAGATCGGAAGAAAAAAAATCGGGGATCTGGAATATTTTATTTTTATTTTTTAAATACTTTTTTTAAATGTTGTATTCAATGTTACAAAACAAAAATGACCATGTTCAAGTCTTAAAGTCATCCTGAGGCCTTAGTTTTGGTTTCAAATTACAGAACATCATGTATGTGTTGCTTCTTTGGGGCTTGTTTTCATAGACCTGGTTGCTTATTTCTCTCAAATCAGGCAACAGAGTGGGCAGGGCGCAGTGTCTAATTGTAGCAGTAAGCTAACGAGTACTGATAAGCTTTATTTTGTTTTGAGACTGCCCAAGGGCACACAGGGGGGATAGGGGACACCTTGATGTACAGAAGTTTTCTCCTTGGACAGTTCTGAGGTAGGGGTGTTTGTTCGGTCGACGGTCCTAGTGTGTGTGTGAGGCCAGCTAGTTCCATTTCAAATCTTATGTGAGTGTTTGCCTAGACAAACTTACATAAAGTTAAGGGAGGTTTTATTCGACGAGACGACGGACAATACTTCCGGACCTACAGGGCTCGTGGAAAAAATACGAGCTAGGCAAGGCTAGTAAACTAAAACTGTTAAGAACGCTATGCTAAAAGGCAGGCTAGAATACGTTACGTAATTCCTTCCTTTTTCGTAAGTCACAGGGAATTCCATAAAAAAATAAATTTTAACCTATAAGCTAGGTTGTACCTATTATCGATAGAAGAAGGTTCGTCCGTAACAAAAATCAGGTCAACACGT